AAGTTCTTGAGCACCTTCAGTGGCAGATGGAAGTCTCTAAGTCTTCTGAGGAAGAAGAGAAGCTGACGGGCTTTCTTAACCAGGGTGTTGATGTGACAGGACCATGACAGGTTCTGAGTGAGGTGGACATCCAGGTATCGGAAACTGTCCACTCTCTCCACTGGCGTGCCACTGATGAGGGGCTTGTAATTCCTCGCCTTATATTTCCTCCTGTAGTGTCAGTACACTGATTAGGGCTTATACAGAGTCAGACTGATACACACGGTAGCTTGTATCAGTGTGTACACAAAGCTTAAGAGTGTTCAGTCTATAACGGAATTGTTTGTTGGGCAGAAACCAGAGCGTGACGAGTGGGGCAGTGGGCTGGAGGCCATGCAGTGTGCTCTGCAGCTGGAGAAGAAAGTCAACCAGGCTCTGCTGGACCTGCACAAGCTGGCTTCTCAGCATTATGACCCTCATGTAAGCGGGAGTAGGAGGGAAGAGTTTGGGGTTAAAGACTGAACTAGTTCATGCAGTATATGTTTGACAAATCATCAAATGTTAACTATAATTTGTGTGTGTTTTCCCAGCTGTGTGACTTCCTGGAGAGCCACTACCTGGATGAGCAGGTGAAGTCCATCAAGAAGCTGGGTGACCACATCACTAACCTCACCCGCATGGATGCCCACACAAACAAGATGGCAGAGTACCTGTTTGACAAGCAAGTCTGGGTGACAAGAGCTAAATACTGAGACCTAGAAGTGAGCCTGGAGTCAAAATTATAACAACACAGCAAGACCACACCTCCAAACACACTCCTTCAGGCTGTCATCTATATAGGTTCCCCTAGTTCTGCAAGCTGATCATTCTCGTTTACGTGCCCAACCCTCCCTCCTTTTCCATTCTTCAACTTCTTCACTTCTATTTAGTACATGGGGATCTGCCAGGCCCAGGAGCCATCGCCAGTCCCCTTCGAGGCCTTCCCCAAACCGCAGCTCAATTCATGTCAAAGCATTCACTTTTACCTACTAAACTGCTTAAAAAACTTAAAATGAGGACATGGGCCCAGCTAGTGAAGTCATTTTATTCACTAGTATTAATGTTATTTACAAATAAAATTACATCACAAAGAAATCATCTCTCACTCTTCTCTTGAAAATCCAGGTGTTTGCTCAGTTTTATATCCATGTTTTGGAAAGAATCCATGATTAAAATTTTCACCAAAATGTCTCAACAGCCACATCTGCAGGCTGGAGGTCTCAATTCAATTCAATTTAACCAATTGCCACGACTGGTTGGAGCTGACGGGAGGAAATCGGGACACGACACACTGTGGAAGCGAGCCAGATATTATACATAACTAACAATTAAATATCGAGAGATGTATAAACACTAGTGGCTAAAAAGGCTGACTGGAAGAAGAAACACTCAGTGCATCATGAGAATACCCCAGCTGCCTAAACCTATTGCAACGTAACTGAGTATTCTGTCCCTCGGATTGTTTCTGAGGTATGTTATAGGTCGTAGTCATTATTGCTGCAAGTAACTGAATAGATGTGTCAACAAATATGTTTATTCCTGGCCTGCTCATGGCAAAAGCCTGCCATCTAGTGGGTCAACAGCAGAAACTCCTAGTAAGGGGAGAGAAGGAGAGTTTTGCTCCGAGCACTTAGCAGGGAAGGTCCGGTGCTTTTTTTTTTTTTTTTT